TTCTCTCTTACATTTCATTATATATTACCTATAAACAATAGAAAATTGAGGTTTTCATCTTTTAAATGACGTATTGTATAACATTGTGTTCTGTACAGTACAAGATTCGTTCCCATGGGAAAGTTAACAACTAGCTTGGATGAATTTGTAACAGCTCTTATCACATAGTTAGAAAGCCAGGAAAATTTTGAGAGTTAAGGAAATTTTTCTACTAATTTGGTGCATTATTTAATTAAAATAAAAATTATTAAATGCATTACTATAAGAAGTTAGGCTTAACTCTCTCCTCGAAACCTGACAGCAAGAAAAAAGAAGATTAGGTAAGTACTTTATTTCTAGCTTTTCATATTTATTCTTTATTTATTATTGTACAAATAACTAAAATCTAAAAATACAGATCTTTTTAATTTATTTAAGACTAGATTAGGTAAAATAAGTAATAATAATAATAATATAATTAAAATGATTCATGAGGCACACATGTGATCAGTCCATGGGTAATGTAATTCAATACCATAATGTTAGATGCACATTGCCCGAGTGATTTATAACTTATAATGGCACAGATAGTAGTTAGACACGGTTCAAAGGGCAATAAAACAATAAAAATTAATTATAAACAGACATATATAATGTTACGAACTTAAAGCTACTTAAGATAAACAAACGTAGTTTCATGTTACAATCTGAAGTCATTCTAGAAATAAAAAAAAGGTTAATTTTAGGTTTATTTCAATTTTTTTTGGTGGTTACAAGGTCAGTCAAATTCACTGATCCCGTTTTGAGATAGGGTAGAGTAAATAACAGATAAAATATAAAGTTTTACTGAAAAAAAAAACGTTTGTAATGCATTTTGGAAATTTTAGGAATTACAAAAAGGAAATTTGAGATTTTTGAGATGAGGAAAAGTATTTTTAATTTCAACATGAAAATTACTTTGCACATGGACTACTGAAAACAAATACTCAATGTATTCACAGACAAATCTTTATTTTATTTTATTAAAAATACTTCACTAAGAAATATGACTTTTTGTATGTGAAAAACTAGTAATATTAACTGAAAGACTGCCAAATTTCATGAAGATATACCCACTATATTGAGAGTTAAAAGAATTAAATCTATAAAGACTTTAAACTAGTACAAAAAAGGTCACATGGTCAGTCAGATTGACTGAGCCCGTATTGAGAATGTTAAGTGAGTATTCTTACATCATAACGTCTTGTAGTTTGTAGAAAGTTCTAGGCCTCACTGGAACAATATAAGTAAGTAAGTTGGTGAAAGTGAAAAAAAGGGAAGTTATACTGCATGCAAGTTTAGCCATAATGGGTGATTTTTAAATTGAGTTTCACAGCTCATATTGTAGTAACATAGATAGAGGAGAATAAATTGTCTTGTCAATTGGGTTCTAAGGTAACTGAACCAGCCTGTGTGGATGTTTGATGAAAAAAAGAGAAATATTTAAAGTTCAGGATTCAACTGTGTAATGAACATTTGTATATTCATTTGACTTGTTTTAATATATATTATTTTAAAACAAGTGGATTGTGTTTTGTCCGTTTATTGTTGAAATATATCACCAACAAGTCACAGATACCTACTGTAACGAATCTTGTCCATCCACACACACACACACACACATATATATATATATATAAAACAAAAACTGACATACTTTATTCACAACTACAATCTTTTGATTTGTAAGTATGCTTACAATCACAAACCTGTACCTTTTCCTCGTTTTTGACACAAAACATTATTCACCATAATAAAATATCATCAAATAAAACAATCTCTGTCTGCTTCTCATTTATTTTATTGTAAGTTGATACACTGAATAAAAGAAAAGTTCAAACAATGCTCTGCACATTGCAAAGCACATCCATTTCTATATATTAGCAACTGGTCAAGAAAAGCACTCTATGTACAGAGCTAATACACACCGTGTGCTTGCCAGAGATCTAAGCATTCTTTTCCCTCGAAGTTTTTGGGATGATACACCATGTGGCTCCATATTAGTAATGCACTGTGTATTAGCTCACTGTTTGGTGAGGTCGCCGAGGAGCACATGACAACACAGCAATTGGAAATTTGAAATGACCCATTACTTTCCAATAGGGGGGTGGGGGTGTCAATTGTTTGAATTGCACATGTTACTGTTGGAGATGTCACTATAAGTAGAAAGTGGTAAACTGGTAAAATAAAATATTTACAAAATAACTAACCTACTGAATAGCTATGGAACATTCAATTTCATCATTTGACATTCCTGTTATTTATGAATATATATATAGTTCCAAGAAGTTAACTTAAAGTTAGTTGTGGCTTGACAAATGTGACTGCTGATTGGTTGGATTGCTTCTGAATGAGAAAAACTAGATATTTTGGGTTTTCCGAGTAGGAAGCAAATAGTTGGATAACAAGAATCACAAAGGTGGACAACTGTAACAACCTACAGAGCCACGTATGAGATAGTATACAGCTAACTGTGTAACACACAATTTGTGTACGAGTTGAAGTTAGTACATGAATGCTTTGTGAATGATGAACATTTGCACTACGTGCTCACTGAGTTTATACATTACAGCACATACACTGACATTCCTCAGCATACACCATGTGCATGTAGCCTACAGTACTTTACATGGTGGCCTTAGAATCACACTGATTAAGAACAAAAACTTTCAAACGTCACTTCATTTGACCTTTGGTTGAAATACTTCATTTCATTTAGAAATTGGTTTAGTTCAAAATGTGTAGAGTGATACAACAACAAACTTGACAGTACTTTAGGTACTGAACCAAGGGCATTCAGGAATTCCTCTTCACTCCACTCTTGGTTGGAATATTGTTTTGCATCAGGTGAAGAGGTTTCGGTTAATGTTTTGGCTGGCTGGTGTTGAAAAAGAGAAAAGCACAGGAGAGTTTGTGGAGAAGTCACGTAAATGTTTTCGTAGGCTGTTTTGGAAGTTTTTGTCTGACACAACAAAGTGAACATTGAGCAGGGGAGAGTGACTTAGTGCACATGCCCACACCTCTCGTTGAGCATTCTGCCTTATAGAGTGATAGCAAAAGTCTTCAAATTTATGACTGAAGTGATTGATGAATTTAGGCAATGAACCTCAACAATTTGTTTGTTTCTCACAATGGTGACATAACCATATTTAGCAAACATGTACTAGCCACAAGGCCAGTCCCCATTTTTATTTTTCCCTTGTTCAAATAAAAAAACGAAAATAGATTGTGATTTTTTTTTGGCAAGGAATTTCAAATTTAAAGAAGCTTCAAAATACATTCTCTCTAGTCATTGTGATTTTTAAGGTTAAACTGTCAACAATACTACACAATGACTTCATCAACTTTACTGTACATAATTAGAATCAGCAATTGGAATCATGCCGATTGTGCACTAAAATAATCGGCAATTGGTGACGTTTGATAGTGAAATGATCAGTAAAACAGTATTGAACAGACTGAGGCCCCAGGAGGTAGGCACAAGTGGCATATGATAAAGATAAATGAGGGGTGACCTGCACTACACTGAGTGTTATTGCCACTCCACTTCCCACTGTATCGGTACTCAATTATATGTCACTCCAGCATACGAGTTCAATAGGTGAGGGTTCTCCATTTTCCACCACCCAGTAGTTAGGATCTAGTAAGTATCAAGGGTCTCCCATGCTCTACTTGACAAGAAAAAAAGGGGGAAGAATTCATGGTGGGGCAACCAGAAGAAAATGCCCAGATTCCTGTCAGTACTTCAATCCAGAAAGGCATATTATAGGAGACAGTGCAATGGATAGCCACATAACCCTATTTTGATAAGTTAGCAAGTGCGAGCCAGGGGAACAGGCAGAACACTCCTCTGGTGCTGGCTTTTTTCCATGATAATCCATGGGTTAGGTACGGTCTGGATCAGACAAAAAAGTAAATATATAGATATACCATGAGGTTACCCCAAGTGATCATGTGGAACACCCCATCTCACACTGGGAATATATGGAGTAAGAGCAAAATGGTACGAGTGCTTTCCATTATCCTGGCTCAATACAGATTTTGGTAAATAAGTAAACCTTGGGATGCACCACCGACCACCTAGAGGGATCCTATGAACACAAAAGGGGCTCTGAAACAGAAATAGTACAGATTCTTCTCAAAGAGTCAGAAAAGAGTTATTAAGAAAGAAAACAATACGAAGCCTAAAAACAAGCAGAAAGAAAAGACAAGGTTAAGCCCCAAGAATAGTGAGTGAAAGATAAGACTATGAAAATAAAAATAAAGAACATAGGCAAAGGATAAGGAAAGTAACAAACCTAAGAAGGAAATCCAGAAAGAGGGTGAAAGGTTAAGATCTCATGAATGGTAAATCACTACCCAAAACAAATCAGGTAAAGACATAGTGCAATAGATCATTCCTGACTGTTGAGAAAGACATTCAGCCAACAGGATGGTTGTAGGAAGCCCATTAAGTATGTGTTGATCCATAACATGCTTAACAATAATTGCAATGATCCTGAGAATTAATGAGTTTTTAAAAGCCACAAACAAAATAAAGCCTAAGTGTGAGCGATGTTAGACATTCAGGACCAAATATAAATCACTGCCCTTTGAGAATTCATGATAAAATTTATAGCTTCTAAAACAAAAATTAAAGAAAAACAAAAACCAAAGTTCAGTTAATAAAGCAAATAACATGAAATTGAACACAGACAAAAAAAATGTAAAATATGTCTGGTCAACACATTGCTGTGGAGAATAATGAAGATTCACAAGTGCATATGCATAGGAGTTAGTGCACATGGAGGTGTTGCCCTCCTACTGGAGGGCTCTTGTTGCATAGTGACATCATTATGCAACAGTGCAATTCACAAGAAATCTTGTGAGAGTAGGTGGAAGTTCACTAAAGGCTAGTGGCATGCAAAACCCTAAGGTAGATGCACAGGGAAGATAGCTTCACTGTGCTCAGAGGTGTGTTATCATCTCAGAAAAGTTCTTACCTGTTCCATACACTAAGCCAGTAGTAGGTGTAACTCCTAACACAGAGGATGTCCTAATACCAGTGGCTGACCAGGCAGTTTCAGTAGTTGTGGCTGGCTGGGTGGGTTGATTAAAAAGGCTGTCGAGATCAGCAAGTGCCGCATACTTGTCTGTAGCAGGAGTTTTTACTTTCTGCTGGGATGGCATGTTGGGCTGCTGGTCAAAAAAAGATCCTGCAGACGTTGAACTTGGAAATACAGCAAAACCTTGGGTCATAAACTCTCCAGTATTCTGAGCATCTGATATTGGTGCTATTGTAAAGACAAAGTAAACAGTTAAAAGCCAAAGCCCAGACAAATATCATCTTATGTTAAAAATGAAATGAAAAAGGATAAAGAAAGAAATTTAAAGACTAATTACAGTGAAAGAAGGATTCTTCAACAAACAACAGAAAAATAAATAAATTACTCTACTAGCCAAAAGAAAAACTGTCCTGTTCCAAGTCTTTGTAAAAAAAAATAAAAATGCTGAATCTAGTTCAAAAGAACAGTGTTACATGTAATAATTTGATGAGTAAAGAGTAAGAAGAAAATTTGAGATGAAAAAAAAAAGTCAGTGATGTGAAAAGCAGAATAACAAAATAAGGCACATCAAAGCATTAAAACTGGCAGAAAGTGGAGGGGAAAAGCAAAACAATCATATTGTAGAAAGATATTAACATATTTCCATGATAAACATTTATGTACCATATTTTCAGGAGCAATGTATTAATATTCTTTCTTATTTTGAGAATAGGATTTGTTACAACAAAATCTTAACCAACAACTTAAAAGGTAAGTTATATTTGAATATATGCAAAGGAAAGTAAAAAAACACAACAACCAATCCAACTGTCAATTATATGAAACTGTCAAGGAAGCCATAAGTTAATTTAACAACCAAATAATTGTTTCACAAAATTTACAATGTTATTCAAAAATTGTTTTTTACTTAGGTTATAGTGAAAGACAACTGCCCACATGACAGTCACTTCTTGTTACCAATCTCTTCAATCAATCAATTATATTACCTAAAAACATCTTATATTTAGATTAACACCCTATGATCCTTACTTTTCATGCTGAGGAAAACCATAATCAAAATAAATAAGCTATTGTAACACTTTTTAAATACAAACATGGTTGATTTGCTAACATTTGTTCATTTTCCCATGACTTATCTCTTTTTAATGTTCTCCCAATACTCTTCCATACTTTCTTACAAGAAACTATAATGAATTACTTAAGAAAATTGTTGTTGATGGATAAAATTCATACTATGTTACACTTTTGGCTAACTGAACTACTTTTGTTGTCTATAGCCATGTTGACACAATTATCAAAATAATTTAATATACCATTACTAAGATTTATGAACTTGTACAAATGTATTACAATGAATGACTTATACACTCAGGGTTCTCCCACTTTCAACAGAATTCAAAAATTTTTTACAAAATATTTTCATGGATTTCAAGAATTATTTCATGGATTTTCTTAGATTTTTGAATGTTTAGTTGGTGATCAATGACTAAACATTATAATTACATCTAAGGCCTAACAGTAGTAAAACCTTTATCTGAGCCTTTTGTTAACAATAACTGAATTTATACAAGCTTAAATGGGAAAGGCATATTGTAAATCATTTTGGCAAGTTTCGAAATTATATTTCAATTTTTGAGTTCATGACACTGGCAGATCTGGAGAGAAGAACACCTTACCCCCCTCAAAACCAATAAGCCTTCTACATCCACCTTGCATGAATAACAACCTCTGGATTCACCCATGGTCAACAATATAAACAAGTTATTTGTATAAGATTGGCAGTGTGACTTATTGCACAATATCTGTCATTTTAGATCTAGCACTATTTGTTGTATAAAAACAATATTTCTATAAATGATCTTCCATTCCCCTTGCCCACCCACGTTTTGATAGGAATTCTGGTGGGTATCATCTAGTACTGCTCTTAGCACGTACTCATTAATGGAAATTAATTAAAGGTAAAAAATATATACATTTAACATTTTCAAAATTTTGACTGTTTGAACTGTTTATCTATGTACTTTCTTGCCAAATCATGCACAAATTACAAATCATCTTGTGACTGTGTTCCCATGGTGTCAATTTGCAAACTTTGGCTTGCTTGTGCTACATGACAACTTTAGCTTAAAATATTACATGTTAAATGAATAAATATGAATGATATGCAAAGTGAAGTTTTAACAACTCTGTTTTAGGGTAGTTGATTTATAGCACTAACATTTTAGAAACAAAGAAATATGAATGATACACAATGTAAAGTTTTAACAACTTTGTTTTAGGGTAGTTGATTTATAGCACTAACATTTTAGGCTATAATTTAAGTTGCCCAAGCAGTCCCCAAACACACTGACAATGCTAGTGATTTCAAAATATTGCTGTTATAGGCAAATGACACTGAAACCATTCATACCATAATACCCTTAATAATTATGTCAAAGTAGTAGTTTGGAGACTTACCGCATAAATACCTGTGTAAAGCCAACACATTACTCGACTGGATGGAACGTAACAAACATGCACATAAATTACCAATATTTAATTATGGCACAGTCCCCATTATATGACACTTTCTGATTGGATCAAGGTGTACATAGGTTGATGGCAAATCATGCGATCTGCCAACAGTACAAAAGTTTGAAACCTAAGCTAAATAATGCTCAAGCAACTAACAAGTAAATGAAATAACCTCAGTAAGCAAAGGAACAAAACACTGAAGATTCTTAGATTTTTAAACATTTACTCTTTCAAATCCAATACAGATTTCCAAATTTTCAAAATATTAAGAAAGTTTTTAAATTGGGGGAACTTGTTAAATGAAATTCCTGAATATTTCCTGACTTTAAGAATGTATGGGAACCCTGTACATATATTTGAAAACAGTAACAGTGCAAAGAAAAAGCTTTAGTCAACAAAATCAACAACTAAAGGTTCTTATTCTTGTTGATCAACTTTCACCTGTTTAAACCTCTACTTTCTAATGAATTAAATGCTTTTACTCATTAATAGCAGTAGAACAGAAAGACAAAATTTACATTTAGCCTATTAAAATAACACCTGTGTTAAGAACAACAAATTTGAAGGAACATGTAACAAGCTAAGATTTTTCTAACTAAACCTTACAATCCACAAGTAATGATTCACATACTGGTCTTACTAAAATACAAGGTGTGCGGGCAAATGTAATAAGTGTATAGTCATATTCAAATCATGTTGATTAACATACTGGTCTTACTAAAATACATGGTGTGTGGGCAGATGTAAAAACCTTACTAAAATACATTATATATAAGTGATTGAAAGAGTTTACTAAAATACTTTCAGGGTGTATAGGTGAATGTACTGGTCATACTAAAATATTCAATGTGTATGTTTGACAGTTAATGCATTAGTTTTACTAAAATATTTCTTGACCATATAGGTATAAGTCCTACTAAATACAAAACATACTACTGACATAAAAAACAATTCATTACACACAATATTTTTAGAGAAAATGTCAAGTCTTTAGGATCTGTCTGAAAAAATGATGCAGATATAGCAATATTACAATATACAGCAAAATTGACTTTGTGCAGCCAACATAACTATTTTCATGCTTATTACTCAATCTCTAGGTCATCCTATCATAAAAATGTATCTACCTTGTATGAAATATTGCCAAAAAATAAAACAACAAACCATGTTACAAAGATCTTATAACAAAAATGAAATTGAAAAATAAAAACAAATCTAAGTTACCAGTAAATACACTATCAAAATTAGCAAAGCTCCCATTTGCAGACTCAGTTTCTGGAAAGGAAGAAAATATGTACATTAAAGCAATGGTATACATAACAACTAATATTTTTTATTAAATATCATACATTGTAACTCAATGCTAACAAGAACAAGTTTCAACTATATTTAGTTATGTAAATTAATATCATAAATTAAGGTGGAAAATTTTTCTTTGAGAAATGGTTCTATTGAACTTGACACATTCAGGTTTTTCTTGTTCTGTCAACCAAAACAGTACATTACCGAAGTCATTTGACTAGTGTCTACTTTATCCAAAAGGGAAAGTCTGAGAGTCTTTTAATAACATTAATAATTTAGACTTGTATTGTGATTTCATTATAAACAGGAAGAGAGGTCTTTGTAAATACTTGTGTATCACATACTTCTGTAGCCTAATATTAAATTAAAAATTACACTATTTTCCATGATAATCTAACAAACTACTCTAAATGTCAGTATTATTGGACCTCTTTAAAAGTTTTATTGATGTTTAAAGAGAAACCTTAACTTTATCAACTTCCTCTGGGCCTTATGGTTTTCTATTATATTCAAAGTATCACTCCAGCACTTACCATAAATACTATCAAACCTGAAACATAGAGACAGCTGAAGTCTATTCATAATATCTGCAAGTGAAATATTTTCTAAACACATAAAACATCAAGGTTCTTCACTACATGTCTAACAACCTCCTTAAAAAAACTACAGAGCTTTATTTAAATATTTGCCTTATGCTATGTGCACAGTACTAATGAACTTTTCAAACATAAGCACAGGCAAGAGGGTGGCAAAACATATGCACAGTATTTGTTAGTACTTTATGTTTCCTAGTAATTTCACTTTTTCCAAAAACTATTTATTCTAAATTTTATGTTAAATATGAATCTATGTATATAATTTTTTTAAATCTTGCAGTGATCATGATTATGGGTATGCTATTGAAAATAAGATGCCCACTTGGTTGTTAACTGTTGAATTTTACTTATCTGATCACTACTTATAATTGTCTCAAGATATAGACAAGTAATATTTACCAAAGACACATTTCATTAACATTTTCTGTGTCAGAAGTAAATATCACCAATGCCAAAACTTAAAATAACACTTTGTATATCACAAGTCATTACCATTTCTGTCAAGATTTTGAATATGTTTAAGTAATTAACAATCTATTTAGAGCATAATTCAGATATACAGTGTATAAACTTCTAGCTGTATAAAGTATTAATCTATCATGCTACATTACTTTGGAATGAAACACCCATAGACATGTTAATTTTCCAGAAAATTATATCGTGGAAAATCTTCCAAAATATTTTCACAGTCTTTTTAGATTTAAATTTCTTGTTGAATAAGTAACAAAAATTTTATTGGTAACAATTAATGTCAATGATAAATTTTCATTCATCAATCACTGAATCAGAACTTGATATCATCGTAGTGTTGCTTGAGTCGATGTTTGCACTGACAGTGTACCATGACAAGTTTAGCTATTATGTCCATTGTTTTTTAATTTTACATTGTTGAATGCCTTTCAATTTACTTTGAAAGCAGTTATGGTAGGTGGAAAGCAAATACTTATGTAGCAGTTTTAGATAACTAGAAACTTCCCATAAAATTAAAGGTGTAGTGATGCTAGAGGTTCTCTGCTCCCTAATTTGTCTCCAGTTCAACAATCAGCTAAATCACATAAAACAGCCATTGGATCCACTCTGAAAATATACACATCTACCTTCATGATCATGTCCATGGCTTCAGTTTGTTCATATTCCATCAAATATTTTGGATCCAACATTTTGGCTATTAGCTGAAGAGGATTAAAATCAAAATCATGGATGGTGAAAAATGCCATCATCAAACACTGATCAAAACACACAGTAGTGTGTCATACAGCCATGAAAAAAAACTTGAGACATGCAGCACATAGTGTGCTATTTACAAGAACCAATGAATTGTGATTTTAAGTTATCTGTAACTTAGTACTTCCTTCGTGAATTTTTCACCTATAGTCTCCCAGTTTGCTTACCTCACATTTCAAATTTCAAGAAACATCAATGTCGTAAAAACTGAGATGTTTGATGCCAATGTTTCTGATTTTTTTGTCTTCTTCTATGAACCAAATTGTATGGAATTTTTAAAAAATCTAAAGACCTACTTCCCAAACTTTGATTTTTATGAAATTTGCTACACATATAGCATACTGTTTACTCTATGTCTGTACAAAATTTCACACAAACCAAACACAATGTTTAGCTGTTACAGTAAAAAGAACAGTGATTTCTGAAGGATAATTTTTGCTCAGACCAACAGGACAAATAGTAAATGGAATTGTTCTGGAATTACTTACAGGAATTCCCCTGATCTCAATTGACTAGGGTGTCCAAGCCTACAACAGCAAAGGATGTATACATCTTGTTCTACAACTTAGATCATACTGTCTCTTCAACACATGATAGTTTGCATTTATGTATGTAACAATATAATACTGTACAATGCCACTTTGAAAGTATTCTTTATATTTTACAGCTTTTATGTGGTGTGGACATTCAACTGATATGTAGGCCAAACGCTGCATGACATAATAAATCCATGTTGGTAAATTTGTGTAAAACCCATGCATTTACAGCTCAAATTTGTAAATATACATATTTTTTAATTTCTGTTTATCACAAACAGGTGTGATGATATCTAAAACAAAAACAGCCTAGCTGTAAAAAAAAAAGAAAAAAAAAGACAGCAACTAAATGATGTGAAGTCCAAATTGACAGCCAAGCCAGTGTAATAATACTGTTGATGAGAATGAAAATTTAAATAATGACAATTCAGGTAAACATTGTGTTATTACAGACTCCTAATTGAAACACTGAGAATGGTAACAGAATGTTTAACTGAACTGTCATTATTAAGATTTTCCTTGTCATTAACAACATTACTGCACTGGCTTGGCCACAATTTTGATTTCATGTCTTTTAGATGCTGTAATTTTTTTTCACAGTTGGCCTGTTTTTGGTTTAGATCTTGAACTGCTGAAAATACTGTTTGATGTAAAATGCTTCTGTTAGTGTTTTCCACTTGAAAAATGGACAGGGGCTGAAAACAGCTTCTTCCAAGCAGTCCACAGAAGCTGTTAGCTAGTTCTTTTCCTTCCAGTTGTAGTTTCTAAGTGGTTTGAACACTGAAGAGAATAGGCATACAGGAAGTATAAAAGTGAGACATATATGGCCACTCTTATATAACAGAAAGTAATTAAACAAAGTGACACAACTGGGCCATGATTAAAGTTTTTAAAACACATTTATAAAGTATCAGTTAACATATCTATTATTTCAAATTGATAAAGTATCATCACATTTTCTTCAAAGAGCTTCAACAGAACATTTATAATGAACTATACTATATCATAGGCAAAAATATATTTTGTGCATGTCATATCACTCAAACAATCATGGGCAATGAAGAGACTAATCAAAACACTGTGAATACACATAGGAATCATGTCACTGGAGGTTACAGTTATCATGTTGTGATACAAGGTTATTTGCAATAAATATAATAATTATTGTTCCTAAGTCCCTCCTGTGACACACAAAAATAGTGGGAGCTATAAAAAGCACCCGTGAAATAGCATTTTTGGCTGTTCACAAACACATTTCGAGACAGAAACACTGCTTCACAACATTCTTACCTTCAATACTTATTACAGCAAGCAAGATTGTATGCAACAGGCTCAACACTCTATCAACTTTTCACCTTCATCCAGTATGTTTTTATGGATGAAAAAAGATGCTAACCTATAGAATCTACCAAGGCTGACTACAAATGCTCATGGCTTTAAATGGATTTTTAAGGTACTTGGTAAATGATCCTCAAAGAGTGGCTACAAGATAAAGAACAATCTCCTTTTTACCTTTCTCAATTTAATTATGTTTAAGTTCTTGGTGTAGAAAGTGTTTCTTCTAGTAAAACTTGATAATCTGATTGATTGCTTCTGCAAGACTGATTACAGTTCTCAACTTGGAAAATTTCCTTAGCAAGCAGTTTCAAGTCATGAGTGAGACAGAGAGAAGTAATGAGGTGAGGATATTCCTTTTATCTAAGTATCCATGCAGTCATCATTTTATTGTATGAACCTTTTTCAATTCCCAGGTGGCTATGACATAACCAAAGACTAGCCCTACAGTCAGAAGTGCAAGATTAAGTTTTATTTAATTAGAAAAACTACTTCAGGATTTTCAAAAACAAAGCTAATTAAAGGATTTCCTCTCACATCAATTTCATCCATTTTCAATTAATCTACTTTAACTATTTTATCCTCAAAAAGGTTTTCCACTAATTTCTACTTCTCATCCTAAATGGAACATGAAAAATGGAAGCTTGTAGGAAATGCAAAAGTAGACTTTGGATTGTTAATAGCTTCCTTCCAAAATTTTTCTTCAGTGAAATTAAATAGTGTATACATTTTACAAAATGACTCCTCACTGTTGTGACATTGTTATTATAAGTTTGGGCATAAAATATTCACTCACCAATCACTTAGAAGTTGACTCACTTCTTGAAATGATATCAGTTTTCACTTGATGGATCAAGCATTACTGTACTTTTTCAAGCTTTTCAGTGAAACATGGTATAACAGTCCAGGGTTCTAGAACCAAACTTCACTTGAGACAAGTAATTGATCAACACATAGCTTCACAGACAAGCTGCATATTTCACAAGCACTATATATTATGTGAAATGGGGTTATCCTTTCTGTGTATGGAACATTCAACAAAGACAAGCCCTCACAAATGGAAAGCTTAGCAGCTGCAGCATTTGTTGAGAAAAAAGAAATCTGAACAAAATAGTTTGAAAATTAGAAATGAATTAATGATAAGCTGGCTTATTGCAGGTACAAGATTATTAATCAGAATTTTAAACAGTAGACCTATAATTAATTGGAGGCAGGATCCTGACATGGCAACTGTAGATAAAAGAGTGATTCAATAACTAGTACATTATCAATGGATTTTTCTTCATTTTATTATGAAAATGGCTATTCATTCAGATGGCCTTGCAACAAGGTCATGTTCTGCCAATCATAACCTAAATGTACACAAGGCCAAACACAAATACTCTACATTTTGTAGAAACTTCTATGTTCACATTTCCTCACATTTGGACTATTATTCCTTGGCTGAGAATTTACGCTTCCCAGTAATCAAAACAGGATATTGTATTTTCTCTGAGCAATTCAACACTTGTAGCTGGTAAACCTGTGTAATTGGCAATATTGGTCATTTACCATAAAACACTGCAGACCAAACCTAGACATTTTTGCAATTCAGAAATTTTCTGTAGTTCTTGGATAATAGCTTTGTTTTCTTTGGACAGCTCTCTATCAGCTTTCTAAGCAATTTCAGGTTCTGGAATAAAGTTTATATACATATAGTTCACACAACTACTCATTAATTAATTGTGATACTTAAGTAAAGCACTAGAACAAATATTACTATTTTCATTAGATACAATATTTCCTGGGAAACATGTAATGCTACACACTAATTAATACAAGATATTGATGTATTTCTGTATGTTTTAAATTATTGTTTGTTAAGTTGTAAATAGTAGTAATTAATATTCATTCACTTTCACTAAAACTTTATACTACTGCAGCCAAATAATGAATAATTTTTATTTAAAATGAAATAAATAAGTGACTGTAAACAACAGCCTAATGAATAAGTGAGTGTCAGAAAAGGTGTCAGTCTATGAGATTGAGATTGGTTTACTGTGCACAACAGATGAGCTAATAAACAATGTCACTATTGTAGGTGTCAAGTGATAGGCTAAAAACAACACTGACACCAATGGCATCATACAGTCATAATTTGGTACTTAAATTCACACAATACAAATGTCTCTTACCACATGTAGTCCTTTGTTTAGGTGGTTTTTCAAAGTTTTGTCTGATCTGGTGGTTTGAGGGGAAGTATCATGGGCATCTTCCTCATTTATATCTATCAGCTTTTACTGAAATGTTCAATGCACATAATACTGTTGTCACAGGGTATGAAAGCCTTTCTTAATACCCATTCCATCCAATCTTTTCACAAAGATTTGTCTTTTGGGTAATGATAAAATGATAAACTTTTTTTCTTCTTATATACACTATAACAACCAGGAACTATACAATAAGAATTATATAGATTATATTTTAAAATACAACACACAAGTAAACTATAGTTATACTTATGACCATAGTTACAAATATACACTTGATGTTTTGCATACTGGGTAGAACCCAGGTTCCCATAATCCTCTGCACATTTGGTGTATTATTCAAAATTGATACTGTAAAGTGATTTCAGTTACACCAATCTAAGAACAAAGGATTAATAAAAAAAATTGACTAAATTAGACTTCTCAAAAGTAGGGAAACTATAAACACTTATTAAAAAAAACCTTCAGGCAGTAGCATAGAGGACATTCACCAACATTTCGTATTATTCTGATGGCTAACAACAGAGCAACAAAAAGGAAATATTAATATGAAACCACAAGAAAACTTGCAAACAATAATTTACATCACATAGTTAGTTACATACAGCTGAATAATTTTAAGGAACTTGTTTCCTGTAATCAGTTAGTTAACATCTAAGTTTATTTCAATTACAATAATTAAGGTTGAGCTGTTTCATGAATACTAAAATTTGTTAAAAAAACAAGAAAAATGTTCCAAATCATGTCTCTACTCAGAGATCAACTATCACAATTTAATATATTAAGTGTTTTAATAAGACAATTTTAAAGCATTCCTACTACTTCTAAAAATTAAAAATGTTCAATTTTTTCACAACAAAATCTGAGGTAGTGGTAAACAAATGGAAGTCTTAAAAAAAAAAGAGAAAAAAGTACTGGCTAAGTCTTTTTTTTTTCTCTTACAATATGATCTCATCACCTTGTGAAACCTTTCAACAAGTGAGCCTGTTAACTAATACCATGGAATCAATTAAATTTAAAACAAATTTTATAAACACATTCCAATAGTTTTACATGTGGCAGAACTTACAAAAGCAAATTCTTGTTTATTTAATCCTCATTCCAATGATATGATATATTGCTACAGTAGAAGCCTGTGTAAAGCCTAACTTTACACAGTTATATTATTACAAAACAAATCTTCTCCAACTAGTTGCAATTTCAATTCATGCCTGTGCACACTTACCTGGTGACTTTACAAATACAATAATTAAAAAAAATGTTAAAATGCATATTATGGGTAAAATTTTGAGTAAATGTAAATGTTTTAATAATAACTAAAAAAATACACTCACAGTCAGTTTTAACCATTAACTTTTATCTTCTTTGTACGTATTGTTTATTTCTATTCGTTATAAGCTTTGACTCTCTCTCTTCACCATTTGTATTGGCTTTTCATTAGTTACAAGCATTAGCTTTTGAATTTTATTGTTTGTATGGATTTTTTTATCAGTTATAAGATGCAACTTTTGATCTTCATTACTGCTACTGTTTTGTCTCATGGTGAATTTCTAACTTCAATGAAATTTTTTTATTTTAAGTTCAATTCAATTTCACATACTTCTCCCCTCCAAGAAGTGCAAAAAAATCATGGATCTACTGTATTTAAAAGATGTTCATAGATCAGCTGGTAATTCTTTGATGCATTTCATGCATTTTTGCTATACATAAAAAAATCTATTAATTTTGACACAGCAAACTTTAATAAGTATTGAGATTTCAAGTAAAATTTCAGAAACATTCGTAAGTTTCAACAAAGAGCTCTTTGAATTTCAACTAGTTGGAACCAAACCATCACCATCACTTATTTTATCAATACAAACTGGGAGCATCTGGTATTAATAAAACTTCATATTTTTTTTCCTAAGCATAGGATAAATTCAAATAACTTGTATTAAATAAAAAAATACCACATAAAACAGCATGTTTATCATCACCGGCCATTCTTTGTTTTCAACCGCAGATGAACAAAAAATACACAGTAATGATCAATACTAAAAGACTCGGAGGTTAGAATATTAATAAGCCTTCAATTGCAGTAGAGGTTGATCATGATTTGATTTTGCATTAGTAAAAAGAAATATAAATTATAACAGGAAGGACAAAACCATACAAGTTGGTAAAATTTAGGAAGTTTAAGCTTTTACTAAAATCAAGATGGTTTTGGAAGTAATAGCAAAAAACAGCATCAATAAAATTGGAAAAACATTTATAAGAAGATAACATTTTCTACCATTTGACTTAGCTGTTGTATTTTGAGCAAAGGGATCTTTTCCAAAATCTCTAAAAAAATCAGTGTTTATATCTTGACTTTTTAATGCTCTTGGTGGTTCTAATGATGAGGTATCACTGGAACTCCAGGAGGAAATGTTTTGCTGCAGAAACAAGATATACTTATGTTTAGTAATATCAGACATTAACGTAAATTCTACTCCTAATATATGAGATATGAATGTTATTCATAAACATCTCTTAAAAATTAAAGCATCTATAATCTTATAATTATTCTTAATGTATCAATGAAAATAAAAATTCTGTAGAACTTTTAAAGAAGTTTAGGATTTATTAATTAGCTACCTGTACTATTCTAGAAAAGTAATATTATCATTTGGTGTAACAAGTTTCTAGGTTTAATCTTAATATTTTTTTATTAAAAATTAATTTCAAATAAATATGTAACTCTATATCTATATCTATTGTATTTCTTAGCTATCCTTGATGCTAGATATCATATTAAACTATTATGCCACTTGCTGGGTGTCATGATATCATTAACTCTCATTTACAGGATAAGCATGATACTGGCATTAAACCACAAATCAAGACCTTATTTCATCTGAGATCCAAAATTAAGGTGGAAAGGAAGAGACAGTTTAGATGTACAGAAGAAAAACCTATCTGGAATTAATTTAATACATACTTTATATGTTTGTAGGTTCCTATCCTAGCATTATAGGGATAGAGAGGCATCAGAAGTGAATATAATGCAAATTCATTTTTAAAACAAGATAAGAATCAAAGAAAAAGTTGTACAGAGGACCTGAAACACAAATAAAAAGTGTGGTTAAACAAGTACTTAGAGAGGTCAAGCATAGATGTGGAAACAAAAAGCTTAAAGTGCACTCTATTCAGTGACAAGTGCATCTAGTGGTTTAAGAACCAAGTGAGTTGAGGCTTCTACTCCACTAGAAGTGTATCCATGCACAAATAACTGAAAATCAAGGAAGAGGGAAAAATGGTTAAAAAGGATAAAACAACATATAGTTTAGTCCTACATTTCAAAGACCTGTCAGCTATGGAACAATGTAATGAATACTCTTGAAACACAACCTTCAAATTTGATACCTAATTGTAATGGTATGTATACACAAAATGGATCATTGTTAGGTATTTTATAAGCTGTAGCACTAAACACACCTCAGATATTGCATAAGCAGAACTTGTAATTCCCCAACAAAGCAAAGTTAACCACAAGCACATGATCAAAGGGGGAGATGGAAATAAACACATAACTCAATAAGGCATACAGAAAATTGGCAAAATAACTACCATGAACAGTTAAAACCTACTGCATTATGATGTTGATAAAAGCCAACATGTTAGGCAATTGCAACATACACACCTGTACAGCATTTTTTACTGAACATCAATTTACCATAACAATAAAGAATTACCCATTTATATGCATCTTGAAGAAATATAGCATAAGAGCTTGCTCAAAAATATATCAAAAAATATTAATTCCATTAAATGAGATGGTTAAACTCAGTTCTTCAATCCAATAAATAGTAAACAAATGGAAGGAATGCCTGCAAGACCTGAGTCAGCCATAGGCAAAATTGTGATCTGTGCAAACTTTGTACTTGGCCTCCCTGCCCCTGTAAAATTGAAAATAACTACTACTTACAAGGTCAATTTTAGCACCTCTTGTGATGCATCCCAAGGGCCAGCCCTGTGCAAAACAAATGTGAAACTTCCCTGGCAAATAGAACAATTAGCAGATTCACCAACAACAGAAGTGATCCAAAGAAAAAGAGTAATAGTCAAGTAAGAAATAATTTGCCTTAAATTGAATGAGCATTAGCCAAGAACATCTACAGAAAAGTAGCTAGAGATGTTTGGATTCAGAAATTCTAACAACACTGGAAGAAGTTTTAATATAAGCAAAGAAAAAAAAACAGATATACTATTGAAAGAACTCAAAACAAGAGTCACGAAAACAAATTTCAGCAGTGAACAAAGAACAAGCACCATCAATGAAATACATATCATTACTGTCTACACAAAATAAAATTCCTGAACTGTAGTTTCAAGAAGGAGCTACTCTGACCAATCACTGGTTGAAGGAGTCATTTCACACTAGAAAGCTAATCTTATAAAACAGAACTGGAGCTATATTTAGAAATAGATACAACATTTAAAGTCGAGGACAGCTTGCAGCTTGTTTCAGTTTTCTTAAGCACCAGATATTATTTTTCCATTTGGAGCTCACTTGCACAAATTCATGCTATCAGAAGCTCTTTTCTAATGCCAATGTTCTCAATTTCAGAAAAAACACTGATGTTTATTCTAAAGTACTCATTCTTTTCCAACTGCTTTTTAAACATTTACTGTGTACTAAACCTTGTAATATACATTAAAAAAATGTACGAAAATATACAATAAAAATAACTAAACTAGTGTGTGGTAACAGATGTATTTTATATAGCAGCATTTTAGGCCATTCAACAAATTTAAGTTCATAATACATGCACATAAATGTAATATTAGAATTCCAATGCCAAAAATATAAAATAAAGGTATAATGCACCAGTCACAGAACAAAAATATATTAAATAAATAAAACATAACTTGAGACTAAAAATTCATGTTTAATTCATTAATTTTCTACACAATAAAATTCTAAGCATTTGAAATAATGTATTTCAATTTTCTGATGTGAATTTTAACAACCAGGTGTTCCACAGTGTCATACATGTTTTAAGGTACCAATGTAGTCATGTTTCAAAAGGCCTGGAAATCATAAACAAATTTTGGACACTCCTGACAGCTCCTGATGTGAATTTTAACAACCATGTGTTCCACAGTGTCATACATGTTTTAAGGTACCAATGTAGTTATGTTTCAAAAGGCCTGGAAATCATAGAAACAAATTTTGGACACTCCTGACAGCTATGATAATTCTTTAGAACATGTATATGTATATATATCTTTCACTCTCAAATAAAACTAAATAACAGTTTTAGAAAATGCATTTGTAACTGAATCATCATCACAACAATTGACATCACCTTGCTATTTTGGATGACTAGAGGGGCAGGAGTCTCTCCTAATAAGGTGGAAAGAGGTTTTGTCTCAGGTATACTATTCTGGGAAACTAAGGTAGCATGGCCACCTTTCTGCTCAGGCTTACATGGCTGAGTTTGTGAAAGTTGTCGCTCTTCATTCTGCATTTTTTTTTACTACTGTTTCAGGATGAACATACCATCTTTTACGCTCATATTTTTGTATCATAAAATCTCTGTTGTGATGTTCATCCCTTATCTCAGGCTCCATACATGCTTTAGAATCGTAAGTTCCAAGCCATACATGTCTGCAGTACTATATACAAATATGGAGAGAAAAATATGTTAAGAAGATTTCATTAACAATATGAATACATTTCATTAAACTAAGTTTTAGTTTCTTATCTTCTACAATCACATACATTGAAATTTAGTCCATTGAAAAAATCATTGAGAAGCTATTTTATATTAAGGGACCATTAAATGATACAATTACAAACATCCTGAAACTGAACATTAATCCAAAAAATTTCCATATGTACACAGTTGGCTAAAATATAACATAATAATAAGGACAACAAGGGACTTTTTACTTCATCTAGGTCATCCTATTCATTAAATTACCCACTCAAAAACTCAAAGCCAGCCCTTATCATTCAAATATTTATCAAGCTTTCCCTTAAACTCCCTTAAATTAATTGCATCTATCATACAAAGGCAACCCATTCCAAATACTATCAATCTTGTTTGAAAAATAAAGCTATGTTTGCTAACAATAACTTCTACACTGCCAAAATTTATGTGTGTCTCCTAGTCTTATCATTATCACCATCAAGAATGAAACAAGATGAGGCATCTGCACTATCAATTCCATTAACAGTCTTAAATCAATCTTCATCAGATCCTCTCTAACTCTTCCTTTTACAAGAGAAAACAAGTTCAGAGATTGTAAACTATCCTTTTATGACAATCTTTCCATCCTAGTAGCCATCCTCTGAACCCTTTCCAACAATTTAATGTTCTTTCTAAGGTAAGGAGACCAAGACTGAACACAGTACTCCTAATGTGGCCTAACCAATGGCATTATAATCTCTTTAAATTTATATTTAATATTTGTTAGTCCCACATATTTATACTAAAATAAGCTAAACAATTTTACAAATAAGTATAGTTTTCACATTTGAGCACTTTCATAATGACAAAGTAGCTGCTTTGTTAATAACAATGATAAACTCAATATGTAAATACTTGTGGCCTAAGTTATATTGGACAGACGAGTAGGAACTTAAAATTTAGAACAAAAGAACATCAAAAGGTGGTGGATAAATTATAAATGGGTGAATTGGCTTTGACAGAACACGTGGTGAATTCTACACATGTTATTGTTTGGGATAATGTAAAAATACTTACACAGATAACAGAAAAAGATGAACTAAACAAAAGAGAATCCTTAGAAATTGTTAAAAACAAAATGAATATAAATAGAGATTTAGGCTCTGGAGCCATAGAAATAAATTTTTGGAAATCGTTGTTGTAAATAGCACCACTGTAAAAACATGCTAATTATATATGTACATAGGTTTATAAGAAATTTCAACTGTACTTCATGGTTTATTCTCCTGAAGTTGGTGGAATTATTTCCCCCAAAACATGTAGAGTTTTAAAGTTTTTAAATTATATTTTTTAAACTTTACAAATAAATTATTGTGCAAGTAAAAAACATTGATGTATCATTTGATTAATTTTATTTAAAATGATACACTCTTATCACCTAAGCATTCTTTTCAAGAAAATGTGAATAATTACCAAAAGAACAACATAATGTATGTTGATGAACTCTTACAACTATTGAATTTTATACAATCTCTCTTATTCATGAGATATTTAACTTTATAATTCATTTTACTTAAAATTATAAATACCTCATTTCCTTTTTGCTTGATAAAATCAATTTCTTCAGATGTAAAATTAGTCATTGTAATGGACTTCACCCGATGTGGAGGGTTTAATCCTCGTCTAGAAATCAAAGATATATATATACTTTTATCACCAACCACAAATAATTCTATGAACTTCTATATTTCAACTTCATTGATTTAATATATCAAATCACTACAAACAGATATTTAAAGGAATTGAAGTAACTTATTTCAGGTATTCAAAAGTGTTAGGTTTTAAAAGTCTTTTACAAATAGTCTGTTTGAATGGTAGAATAAGGTTGGAAAATAAATTTGAGTATAAGGACTAACAGGGTTAAGCTTTGGTGTCTCAGACACATCTACTCTTAAACAAAATTATTTTTCTATTATTTATGAATTTGGGGAAAGTTTTACTTAGTGGACCAGATTTCCAGTAATGCTATTACTATTAGTAATATAGGGATAGTACAAAATATAGTTCCTAAATCATTTGGGACCCATAACCAAATATATTTTGTAAATGTATAGATGGAAAGTGAATCATATAACCTGCAGTTCTCAAATTTTGTGTGTGTGCACCAACTTAATTCTTTTTAAATTTTGGCAGACCACAATAGCATCTATACACTATGCTGCTGTTTCCTTTCAGTAATTGTGCAACCTTTCCACAGACCACCTGAAAGGAGCCTGTGGTCCATAAATTGAAAACCATTAACCTAGAGCTCTGCAAATTAAAACATTTAAAAACAAGTTTCATAATAGGAAATACTCAATTAAAAGTAAAAGGCTACACAACATACAGTTACAAGAAAGTTTTGTGTTACAACTTACACTGGGACAGTGGGAGTGAGACGAAATAAATAATAATTTTTTTTCCCCAAAAAATAAACTGTTTAATATTCGTTTATAAATTATAATTTCATTTTCAATGTTCCCATGTTTAGCCTTTAAGGTCTTAAACTTTGCCCTATGTTATAACTTATAGTACTGTTATAGCTATATAGTTATGTTAACTGATGACGATGTAATATATAAATTGTAAGACTCACCTAACACATTAAGTTGACTAACAGTGTGCGAGAAAATGATTATTTAATTATTATTCATAATAAATTAACTTAAGTTAAGGCTAAGCTACATAACGTCATAGGTACATCAAAAATGGTACTCACAGTATTCCGCTGCATGACGTACAAACAAATGATCCTATTGTTACATTTACATATGTCGGTCCTCTTTGGTGACAGTCAAAACACTGTCTGTTGGCTGGTAATTTAGCTAATTCTCTAAGTACTTTTACATTCTTATCAAGTTCTTGAACTTTACGCCTGGAAGCCATCTTAAACTACAAATTGAGTACAATCCTGAAGGCGCTAAAATGACACCACCTTAAACTTTAAAAGTTCAACAGGAAGAGTCAATCAGAAGGTGGTTTTGGTTTGTCTGGGTTAAACGAAACTTACTTGGCTTTAGCATAAATCAATTTCACTCTATCGTTAATATTATGCAGTGCCATTTCACATTGATATTTTCAAACTGTATTATGAATTTATATCACGTGCTATATATATGATTTCACGTTACTGTCGTTAGGTCTTATATGAGTTACAACTTACAAGGTTGTGTCTAACACATAAATTTACGTGGCGGAACATATTCGACCAAAATTTAACAAGAAAAATATTAATAAACAAAAGCTTAATGTAAAGGCCACGAATCACGTTTACAAAAATAACCATTTAAATCTTAACTTCCTCCAGTGAGTTAACAGTATGTGTACGAACTTACAACATTAAAATCCGGGGTTCGATTCTTCATGGTGGACCAGAGCGCCCATAGCCTATTGTACAGTCTTGCGCTATCAAATAAAAAACAAACTTTAACAAATTGAAAACTAACACAACTATGTAATCAAATTTAAGCATTCATTTACCATGTCCTTTAGATGTGTCCCCTGGTGGGTCAGCGCTAAAAAATCCGAGGTTCGATTTCCCGCAACAGACAGAACACAGATAGCCAATTGTGTAGTTTTGCGCTTAAAAAAACAAAATAAATTTTAATATTTTTACGGTGTGAACGCCTTTTCTAAGCTGATGAAGCGCGACTATAATTAATTTTACTCGTCATAAGAAATCAGTATTAGACCGATTTTAATTTTAACACTATTATTGTTTATTTATTGTTTTTCAAGAATAAGTGTGTATAATAGCATTTCAACCACACTGTGGTCATTGTATCCATTGCCGACGATGCATTTCGCTCAATACCAAAAAAAGAGTCATCAGGCTGATTGGGACACAACAGACACTGTAATGGTTGGAACAGTGTTTATATAAGCAATTTGTTACAATAACAATTCTTTGTATGTGACTTAGGTAGAGTCTTCATGATGAACAAACAAAGGTGAAATGAGCAGCAACTGCTTAGTTCAGCGCGATATTTGTGAAGAAAGTCTTGGAAACTAATCTACAAAAACAGCACGGATGGAAAAGATGATGTTTCGAAAGATTTCGGTTTTCATTCTTCACCCGTTTTTGCAGGGGTCTATATGATATTCGGAAGTATTGAGGTGGATTCAGTCCTTTCTTAATAAAACTGGTTTATTCTTTCCAAATACAACTTTACGATACACTTAATTTCAACAGTCGCTCTACAACAAACGTCTCACGAGGGC